TGGCGGTAAGAGATTTGCGGACAATGAAGAAGTAATCGAAGCTGTAAATGGTTATTTTGAGGAGCTTGACGAATCAGTCTATAGAGATGGCATTAATAGACTGGAACACCGCTATGAGAAATGTATCAGCCTTGGAGGAGATTATGTTGAGAAATAAAAAAAAAAAATTTTTAAAAACCTTGTTTTTCTTGGTCAGGCCGGAAACTTATCAATCCACCCTCGTATATGTATCTCTAATAGGAGAAATGATGAAAACACTATACATTTAGTCACACGTAAGCAACCCATCATACATGATTAAGCATCAAGGGTAGTCGAGATTGTTATAGTAGTATAAAAAAGGGGGAGTTGAAACCGTTGAAACCTTGTATCATTAAATGCCTAAATGATGATTTAGCCAATTTTAATAATCTAATTAAATGTATACATATGACTGTAGAATAGAAAATTTATAGTATGAACTACATGAACAGCGTTAGTTGCCATTTTTTAACAAATAAGAAATAATGCTCATACATAATTTTCTATAGTGAATTTAGCAAATGGCGCACCTTTTTGTTAACTAATTTACTTATTACCAGCTTTAAATATAAAATAGAAATCGTATTTTTAGCCAAATTACTTAGCTTCCTTCTTTTTCTTTTCATATCCTATTATTATTGTTTCAAAAAGAAAATTAATTAGCAATTTCTAGTAAAGAATGTTGTTGCTAATTAGTTTTTGATTTCATTGCAACAACTCTTGTGAAATGGACAGATAAATACTCACATATATAATGTGAATTAAGAAAATAATTTAGGTACATTGCCTTTTTTATTTATCAATTACACTCATTAACATATTTTAAAAACATACTCCTCCCCTCATATTTGTATACAATATAATATAACAGTCACCTTGACTTTATTCCTTACTTTAGTAATAAGTTTATATTAACATTGTAAAATTAAATAGTACGTAACATCAAATAGCTTAATCATTCTATTGACTTTTTAAAATGTATATGAATTTTACTGCAGTAGCTAACAAAATTCTTTTTGTTTCTGTGTATGTAGCACCATCCTGTATTAATGTAAATGTAGCAGGAATTACCTCTTTTGCTTTAAAAACTAACATTAAAGGTTCTCTTACAAAAACAGAAACAGAGTAGTCATCAATTCCCATATTTCTTAATTTTTCTTCAGATTTTTCTGTGGGTGGATAATCCTCCTAAAAGTCAATTGTTTAACTACCAATAAAATCAATCATTTTTATGACTATATGGCATCAAAAATCATATTGTTGTGAATTTGACAATAATAGCATATTTATTGTTGTGACTAGCACAAACATAGTAATTGTTGTGATTGACTCAAACATATTTATTGTTGTGACTGTCAAGCATATTTGTTATGACTGACACAAACATATTTATTGTAGTGACTGCAACCAAAACTCCTTATAACAAATAGGAAGAAAATGTACTGCAAGATGTCTTTTATGAAATATTAAGACCTTTAGTGATACAAAATAGTTACTAAACTATTAATTACAGGCAGTAATAATGACTGTGTAATTATTGTTTTCTTTTTTTAACTTTATATAGCAATGGTAATATTAGGATGAAATATGTTTTCAACCTGTTCCAATGGCAGTACTCCTACATCTTGCAGCTGCTTTAAATTACACATGGAAAAATCTAATTCAGTGGAAATATTTAGTTCAGGTGGAACAAATTTCTTTTCCATTATGGTTAATTCTTTATACATTTCAGTTATTATTTTAGTACTAGCTTCATCACAAACAAATTTTTGCATTTCTGCCATGGGAAACTTGTTAGACAATTTCACTCTAAAAAAATAAAACAGTAATAAGGAAATTAAATAATAGTGAATTTTATCTACCTCTCCAATACAACACGAGCAGCCTCTTGCTTAGCAACTTTCTTAGTAGTACCTTTTCCTAAGGCAATAATGTCATTTAGTGAGCATGTTATATTAAAATCTTGTCCATCAAAGCCCTTCTCATTATATTCAGGATAAGAAATTGACTTCTTTGAACAAAATTCATTCAAGGCTCCTACATAATTTACCATAGGTGACGTAGTAAACTGTACAGCCTTGGGTGCTATTATCACATCTGTCGTTTTTATTAAATTATTGCTATATTTATGCTGTAAAATATCAACTGCATTTTTAGCAGAATTATGCTTAGCTTCCTTCTTAGTTTTCCCATAGCCTACGGTCTGTATGCCATCCACTGATAGACTACATGTAAAATCTCCATTTACATTAGCTACATCTGATGAAGAATAAGTTGGTATTGGTTTCTGATTGCGTTGCATTAATTCTTGTAAAATGGAAACTGGAGTCTTTTGCACTACCATTCTGCTGTTCAACTTTCTTCGTAAAACAAATTGTTCAAAAGTTGAAACCTACCTATTTCAGATGAATTTAGAAAATGATTCAGTTTATCTTACTTATTCTTATTCATCAGCAATTTATCGACACTTTCTATTTGCCAATTACATTGCTTATCAAATACTATCAAATTGTTAAATAGAATCGGGGAAATCCCGCTATCTATTCTATGGTAAGTAATTATCTATGGGTCTACGTCACGGTACATATTGCATCGGAAGTGTTTGATTATGGATTCATCCCTCAATACTTGAACAACATCCACTTTCCATCCACCACAGTATTAACATAACACTTTTCATTGAAGTTCCATTTCCATATTGAATATTGAATTTTGATCAACATTCATACGATCAATGATAATGACTCAACATCCTCAACAAAGACTNATATTTTTCTTTGTACACCCAATTAGATATCCTAATTTATATTTTTCTTTTTACATTCATGAAAACTACAATTTGTAATACAGTATACAGACAACCCAACATACATAAAATATTACAATTCTTATAATTTAACTATAAGGAAAGTTGTGAAACGTTGTTTCTCAAAAATATAACTTTTTATAGTAAAAAACTAACTGTCCTCGAACAAATTACAAAATTTAACGTGGAAATAAGTAATTGTCCTGTCAGAGTCGACCCGATTCGCGGAATTTGCTTTTTGTTCTTTTAATTTTTTTGTGAGGTCACAGGTTGGGCCCTATTTCCGGACTGCGTCGTCCGATCGCAGTGGGAGTGCTATCAAAATTTTCTAGAGCTACTGTGCTCTGCGCTGAGAGCAAAATCGCCCACCCACGAGATTCCGTTTCGGAGTTATGGCTGTCGGAATTTGTGGGAAAGTTTTATTTTCCAAATCGAGAATTAAATATTTTGGAGAACATATCTGGCGAACTATTGAAAATAGCGCAAAAATTCTTTCACCAGCGGTTGGCCCGTACCCAAGTGTACAGGAAAAATTCAATTTCGAAGAAAAAAAATACAGAAATTTTTAAAAATTTAGAATTTTTCATCAACACCGAATACGACCGCATACCGCTCATATCGTTCGCACTGAGACGGGGCATCCGTCTGGGAAAGAATTTTTCCGATAGGTCCTACCGTTTTCCAGCTACAGCTCATAAAACGTCAGTCTTAGGAGCGGTGCGCTCGCAAACATGGTGCGAAAAAAAATCCATAGCTCCGCAGATGTACGTCCGATCCGTACCAAACATGGCTCGTTCGAAGCGCAATGAATGCGGCAAGTTTTCGACGGAAGCAGTTTTAAATTCTGACACTCCTGGTCCGCGTCAGAACCGACCCGATTCGCGGAATTTGCTTTTGGTTCTTTTTAATGTTTTTCTGAGGCCACAGGATGACCCCTATGTCCGGACTGAGTAGTCCGATCTCCATGGAAGTATTATCAGAATTATCCAGAGATACTGTGCTCTGCGTCGAATATGAGAGATTCCGTTTCGGAGTTATAGCTATCGGAAGTTTTGACCAAGTGTTATTTTCGAAATCGAGAATTAAATATTCAAGAGAACATATCTGGCGAACTATAAATAATAAATAATAATAAAAGTGAAATCGAAATACAGAAACAGCTTTGACCAGATAAAGCTAATGTAACTGAGCTTTCTAGTATTGATGGGTTAAAAGTTACGAAACCCTTCTTTGTTTTTTCTAAAATCGGTAAAGCATTAAAAATTTTCGTTTCTACATTGCACAATAACTTTACAGGATGTGTTCATTTTACCTACAATTTATATCTGCCGTCTTGTTGCCCCCCATTCCTGATCCATTAAATGGCGACGCCTCTGAACCCCTCTTTTACAAATCTGTAATTGCCAAACATTTGACTTTTATATGAAGATTGGAAAAACTTTGGCGGTTGTTGTAGAACAAACAGAATAGCTCAAAACCCCACTGAACCTTAACAACTATCAGTATAAATTAGGATTAGTTCTCATTTAGGTTTAGTTTACTTCAGTCCCTGAAGAAGGTAACTTTGTTACCGAAAAGTGCTTCGGACAACTACAGTGTCGTGTTTTGGCGTTGGGGTTTTGAGCTATTCTGTTTGTTCTATTTGACTTTTAATTTAATCAAAGTTTCAGGCTTACTTTAAAGACAAAGTGTATCCCCTCCTTTAGGAACAAGTTATTAATAATTAGTCAATTTATTGAATAATTTTTATTTCTATAACAAGTTCTTACCCCCTATCAGTCACTGCCAGCTCGAAACAGTTAACGCCATTGCTTCGAGCATCACTTTTCTGAACAATTTGTTTAATCACTTTCTTTGTGTTAAAAATTGTTTGAAAAATTAAATTTAAAAGAATTGTTTGTAAATATGTATGCAACACATCGTACACTTCAGCATAAGAAATTGCTGATACCAACTACGTAATACTACTTTGCCCTGCGCTGTCAGCTCTCATAATTTCTTTTATATATAAAATTAAGGCACGAGCAAGAATTATAGCCCGGTTCATTAATACAGCAAATGGTTGCAAAAGAATAGCTAATTTTCAATCTTGTGGAAGTATTTTGAATGGACTTCAAATACCAGCTATCTACAGACTAAGGAAAACGTGGAATCATTTACGAAAGTCTCACTCCACTCAGTACCAGTAACGAATAATATTTTTCATTTTTATGAATGGCGTTTATAAATCGTTTCATTTCTAGAATGTTCTACGATTTAAGGTCAAAGGAATTTCAAAAGGACTTCTTAAAAGTCGAGAAAACGGTACCTTGTTTTCTCCCTTATGTAGGGTACTTCGTACCGCTATTATTAGGAAAACTTCCAGAAAACGAAGAAAAACTCAATGGTAAAATATACTATCATAAATTAAAAGTCATACTATTCTCAATTTCATCATTTAATTTGGATAATACTAAATAAAATTCAAGGCCATTAAGAGTTGGAATGTTTTTATTTTTGAAGAAGCAACACTGACGTTTCGGCTCTATTTGGGAGGCTTTTTCAAGGTAGGTTCTTTAGTTATGTAAGAAAATGTTCCAAATAGCTCGGTGATTGTAACTGGTACATAATATTAAAATAAACATTGATTTAAACAGCACAATTATAAATAAAATCTCTAAGTCAGTGTTAGTTTTTAATTGTTCAATTATTTATTACTTTATTTATAATTGTGCTGTTTAAATCAACGTTTATTTTAATATTATGTAGCAGTTACAAGCACCGAACTATTTGGAACTTTTTCTTATATAATTAAAGAACCTACCTTGAAAAAGCCTCCCAAATAGACGCGAAATTAAAACCTTCCAACCCTTAACTGTCTTGAACATTATTTAATAAAAGTCATACTGCTTATCGGTTTTCAGATTTAGAAATGTCATCAAGAAATTCCACCAATACCTGCACCAGTGCGTCTACAATATTTGCAACGAACATTGTTGAGAGATTCTTCTGTACAATTCACTTTCTCAAGAGCCCAAAGGAAGATGTAAAGAAAGCGATTGGTGCATCTCAAAAATCAAACAAAAATGAAAAAAATATCCAAATTAAGCGATTTCTAAACAACGAAAGCAGTATCAGGCTACATCGTGGGTTAAAAATATTACAAATGTATCACAGTGCTGCAGAAAAATACAGGATAAAAAGAAATAAAGTGGTCTCGGATTATTTGTTAAGAGCGAAGTACGATGATGAATTTCAACTGTTTAAAACATCTTTAATACTTGAAAGTTAGAATTATACATTCAATAAAAGATTATTTTTTTATTTATTACTATATTATTTTGCACAAAAAATATCCAACAGGGAATTAACATCATATTCTGCACATCCACATATTTTTTTTCTAAATTTGTTGACTTTTAATGCAGAAAAAATGGAATATCTTTTTTGTCTTTTGTGATTATTTACCAGGATTGTAACCACACTATCCTAATTAGGACAAACTCAGAAACAGTCAGGGTAGACTAAAAGCCAATTTTTATCTATTTTAAATCTATGCCTATATTATATTTCATTGATTTTGTTTGTGATAGGTATTACAAAGAGGACTTCTTAACGTTAATACTTGACCACTTTTTGCGTATGTATGAAGTTATCGTACAATTTGATCGCATGTAAGAGGCATTAAATTTGACATTCAGTGACGGTCGTTGTGGACGGATAATCTCCTGAATTATGGTTTTAATGGCGAAATCAAAACTCTCTTAAAGATACACAAACTAACAACAATTAATAAAAAATTATTGAAAATTTTGGTGGAGGCGCCGGGACAATTTAAACAAAAGCTATAATTAAGCTATAATTCCAGTTTCATTGAGGTGGATTAATAAATCTTGCATGCCGAAAAGATTATAAAATTTGTAATCGTCCTACCCGAACGTTATCAGAAATTATTACGTACTTACGTAAAAAAAATTATTGAAAATTTTGATAAAGAAGCCGGGACAGTAAAACAAAAGCTATAATTGAACTGTAATTTTGATTTCGTTGAAGTAGATTGATGTTTTCAATTTGTCCTTTAAGTGGGGTTTGGGAGAAGGGGCTGTACTCCCGAAAACTTCCTTTTCATAAGACGATTTTTTTGGGATTTGGGTAATATATTTTCTATTCCTTTCTTTTCCTTTACGTAAGTTCTTCTGCGCGAAATTGACGTTGGCAATCTTTTGTTTGAGAGTGTATCAAATTAAATTTGACGCTATCATTAGGACAATAAATTACGTATTACAAAACCGGACATATTCAGTTGCGCGTGTGGGTTTCCAATTTCAGGAAAATGAGAAAATAATTGAGCATATTACATGAGAAGAAGTTACTGGGGTTGTATCTTTGCATGATGTGAAATTACTAACCGTATAATACGTTTAGCACTAACTATAAATGAAAATAACTTTTCTAACGAAAAATTCAACACAAACTACGAAATATTACGAATTTATTAGTAATATTTTTAAAGACATCTCGTAAAATTTGGTTTAAAATCCTTTCATATTTTTATTTGGAGCTATAGAAAAAGTATTCAGTTACTAATTATGAATCTGTAGTTAATTTTAATTGTAAACTATCGCTTTAATACTGAGAATAAAACATTTATTTTCTTATTAAAAATTTATTGAAAATTTTGGTGGAGGCGCCGGGACAGTTAAAAAAATGGCTATAATTGAGCTACAATTCTGGTTTCGTTGAAGTACATTGATGAATTATCATCTTACAATTGTATTAATTGCACGTAGATGCAGTAAGAGATGTTCTTTTTTTAGAATATATAAAACTGCAGTTTATAATACAGTTTATAGGCAACCCAACATACAGCAAATTTTGTAACTATAAAATCGTTATGTTATTACTATTTATTAGCACAAAATGACACTATAAGCCCATAACTTGTGGTGTATTGCTGAAAACTCGATTAATATTACCCTAATTATAAGTATTCACCATCCCTAACACGAGAATTGGTTTCTAACAACAATTACAAATATATTGAAAGACGAAAGACAATAATATGATCCTTTTTGCACGAAGAAACCCTTCAGTCCTTTTATTAATTAGCGTGGAATTTAATTGTACATACAATAAAGAATAAAAATTTGTTGATTCAATTATTTTGAAAGTATGCAAATTAATGTATTGAGCGTTTACTCTCGTTAATAAGAGAGATCTAGTTTGACCTTTATTGATGGTTGTTGTGAAGGATTAACCTAGTAAACAATCATATTGATATCGAAAATAAGACAGTCATGAAAATAGCTAAATGTTATCAACTATTATTAAAAAATTTTTGAAAATTTTGGTGGAGGCGCCAGGTCAATTTAAAATAGAAGCTATAATTGAGCTATAATTACGGTTCCATTGAAGTAAATTGATGAATTACAATCTTTAAATTGCATTTTTTGCACCTACATGTAGTAAGGGATGTTATTTTTTCAGAATAAATATAAGTACAATTTGTACTGTAATTCATAGGCAACCCAACATACAGCAAATATTGTAACTATAAAATCGTTATGTTATTGGTATTTATTAGCAGAAAATGACAATGTTAAGACACTATAAGCCCAAGTGTATTGCTGAAAACTCGAAAGAAATTCAAAATTTGATGAAATATTTTTGAAAATACGTAAGTTAATGTATTCAGGCTTTTACTTCTGTACTTGTATTGGAAACATCAAATTTGAATTTTGACAATGCTAAAGGGATAATTATCCTTATTAAGTCTATCTTTGCAACTGCTAAAAGTACCTATCTTGTTTGAGAAAACCACCATCACGTTGGGATAGTCGAATCATATGATAATAAATACATAATTGATGAGAGTAAAAAGAGTGATACTGGTTTTGTTCTAGTTGCTCTATCTGGCAACACAGAAACGCCATTTTTAGGGTTAATAAATCGGTTAAAAAAATGTCGACATGTCGTAAATCAACGTTCCAATCTCCAGTCAATAAATATTAATGCGTACGTTTCCATCCTGTGTTCAAACAGTATAATAAATCAACCACAGTTATGTTCCCATTTCATACAAAAGAAGAAACGTCCGAATTGAAAATGTCACTGAAAATACTACGGTCTGACCCTCGTGTATAATATATCAACACAATNTAACATATTTTAAAAACATACTCCTCCCCTCATATTTGTATACAATATAATATAACAGTCACCTTGACTTTATTCCTTACTTTAGTAATAAGTTTATATTAACATTGTAAAATTAAATAGTACGTAACATCAAATAGCTTAATCATTCTATTGACTTTTTAAAATGTATATGAATTTTACTGCAGTAGCTAACAAAATTCTTTTTGTTTCTGTGTATGTAGCACCATCCTGTATTAATGTAAATGTAGCAGGAATTACCTCTTTTGCTTTAAAAACTAACATTAAAGGTTCTCTTACAAAAACAGAAACAGAGTAGTCATCAATTCCCATATTTCTTAATTTTTCTTCAGATTTTTCTGTGGGTGGATAATCCTCCTAAAAGTCAATTGTTTAACTACCAATAAAATCAATCATTTTTATGACTATATGGCATCAAAAATCATATTGTTGTGAATTTGACAATAATAGCATATTTATTGTTGTGACTAGCACAAACATAGTAATTGTTGTGATTGACTCAAACATATTTATTGTTGTGACTGTCAAGCATATTTGTTATGACTGACACAAACATATTTATTGTAGTGACTGCAACCAAAACTCCTTATAACAAATAGGAAGAAAATGTACTGCAAGATGTCTTTTATGAAATATTAAGACCTTTAGTGATACAAAATAGTTACTAAACTATTAATTACAGGCAGTAATAATGACTGTGTAATTATTGTTTTCTTTTTTTAACTTTATATAGCAATGGTAATATTAGGATGAAATATGTTTTCAACCTGTTCCAATGGCAGTACTCCTACATCTTGCAGCTGCTTTAAATTACACATGGAAAAATCTAATTCAGTGGAAATATTTAGTTCAGGTGGAACAAATTTCTTTTCCATTATGGTTAATTCTTTATACATTTCAGTTATTATTTTAGTACTAGCTTCATCACAAACAAATTTTTGCATTTCTGCCATGGGAAACTTGTTAGACAATTTCACTCTAAAAAAATAAAACAGTAATAAGGAAATTAAATAATAGTGAATTTTATCTACCTCTCCAATACAACACGAGCAGCCTCTTGCTTAGCAACTTTCTTAGTAGTACCTTTTCCTAAGGCAATAATGTCATTTAGTGAGCATGTTATATTAAAATCTTGTCCATCAAAGCCCTTCTCATTATATTCAGGATAAGAAATTGACTTCTTTGAACAAAATTCATTCAAGGCTCCTACATAATTTACCATAGGTGACGTAGTAAACTGTACAGCCTTGGGTGCTATTATCACATCTGTCGTTTTTATTAAATTATTGCTATATTTATGCTGTAAAATATCAACTGCATTTTTAGCAGAATTATGCTTAGCTTCCTTCTTAGTTTTCCCATAGCCTACGGTCTGTATGCCATCCACTGATAGACTACATGTAAAATCTCCATTTACATTAGCTACATCTGATGAAGAATAAGTTGGTATTGGTTTCTGATTGCGTTGCATTAATTCTTGTAAAATGGAAACTGGAGTCTTTTGCACTACCATTCTGCTGTTCAACTTTCTTCGTAAAACAAATTGTTCAAAAGTTGAAACCTACCTATTTCAGATGAATTTAGAAAATGATTCAGTTTATCTTACTTATTCTTATTCATCAGCAATTTATCGACACTTTCTATTTGCCAATTACATTGCTTATCAAATACTATCAAATTGTTAAATAGAATCGGGGAAATCCCGCTATCTATTCTATGGTAAGTAATTATCTATGGGTCTACGTCACGGTACATATTGCATCGGAAGTGTTTGATTATGGATTCATCCCTCAATACTTGAACAACATCCACTTTCCATCCACCACAGTATTAACATAACACTTTTCATTGAAGTTCCATTTCCATATTGAATATTGAATTTTGATCAACATTCATACGATCAATGATAATGACTCAACATCCTCAACAAAGACTAAATCTTAACATTGACTCAATTTGACCATTTGATCAATGAAGATTGACATTTAACTTCTATGGGTTCAACTCAATAAAGCTGGGTTTATACTACAATTTGGGTTTTTACAATACACTATGATAGTTCACAAGTACTCAACACTAAGATTATCAGATACAGTAAATGATTATTAGTATATCTTAAGAGATATATTTGATTTTATGTGCAATGGATTCTATCCTAAGCAATGCCTGAGCAAATTACAGCAAATGAACAACGTGGAACATAGATAGGTGTATGATTTCCAAACTCATCCAGTCCAGAACCCAAATCCAAATAATTTCCAAATTGCTTTACCGTTAGGAGAAAAATTGTGTTAAACATGAGGTGGTTGTTTGTAAACAATAATTATTGTTAAGGAATGTCTAAATTTGGAGCATCAAATATACAATATTTAAACTGGAAAATTTAAATAGCTTATGGGTTTAATAGAAGATGAATTATCAGAAGTCAGAAAACTTTGCGAGCATACCATCCAGGGTTGCAAGCTTGTATCATGTGTGCAGTCCATGATCCGAGCAGAGATACAACGAACAAATTTTAAAAAAATCGTTATATGCATACAATACCCCAAGGATTACCCTAATTATCCTTTACTTATTGAATTAAAAAGTAAAACTTTTTCTGAAAAGCTCCTAGCTGGCCTTACTACAGTTGTTGAACAAGAAGCTAAAAAGTATCTGGGGAAACCCCAAGTTCTTAAAGTTCTACAGTTTGTAAAAGCATTCATCGATGAACATCCATTAGCTTGTTGCTATGATGAAATAAATAATTTAAAGAAGAATTTGAATGGCAGTCAAGATGAACTAAAACTAAAACAAAAAACATCATGTCTATATCTTAAAGTTTTCAATGAGTGTTACTATTTAACCAGTAAAGTTGTGATACCAGATCAATATCCAGATGTGGTCATAAAGTGAATACTTGTTATTAATTTTATTAATGAAAAATATATAGATGTTTTTTTTATTGCAGGTTTGAAGATATTCAGAGTAATTTTTCATCTACATTCAATCGTCACATAATTGCACAAGTAAAAGAGATTGTTCGTAGATGTGTGGAGCCTCCTTTAAGGAAACCTAAACCTAATGAACCTCTATTTAAACCTAAACCTTCATTAGAGAAAGCAGTTTTTTTTTTAATTGACTGTATTAAGAGACTTCCTAAGGAAAATTGCCAGTTTTGTAAAACTAAATGTTTTCCAGATGATCCTAGTGTAAGTCCATATCTTAAAAATGCTTAATAAATGTTAGTCTGTAATTAAATATAGTTTTAATCACAGAACTAATATAATTAAAGTAGATAAAGCTCATTAGAAATGTGCTTCTCAAAAGGAGCAAAACAGTCTTCATGGTTAAAAAGCTTTTTCAATTTTATTGTAAATTAATAAAAATGAGTGTATTAAATAGAAACCTGCCACAATAATTTTTGTTTTTATAATTTCAGTTGGTTGTTTTGGATGAGAATTCGCCAGATCATATCGAAAGGGTTTACTGTGGTCACTTATACCATCAATCATGTTTGTTTCAATATCTAAAGACACCTCCTTTTGGAAACAAAAGATGCCAAACCTGTGGTCAGAAAATCTGTCATCCTAAATGGTCACTCTCAGATAAGTTAGCAGAAGACAGATGGGCCCATGAACAAGCTAGAGAACGTGAGCTGGCTGAAGTAGAAGAATTTTTCAAATAAAAAGAAAATTTTCTGTAAACATTATTTTAACTAAAATAATTTTAGAAAATGTTAGTAGTGTAATTGTAATTTTGAATGTTAATAAAAGGATTACAAATTTAAATGTAGTATAATATAATTTACCAATATAAAAGTAAAGTGAACATGAATAATAGCTTAAATGTGAATCTCACAAATACTGAAAATTACCATCAAATGTACTGATAAAGTTAAAGAGTATCAATTAAAATCATCAGATTGGACTGGATGGACTTCATCCACTTTCTTTAAAGAGTCAGTTATTATATTCTAAAAAAAATGTAGAAAAGTTTTGGTCATTCTATATTTCTAAGAAAAGTGATACAAAACGTAAAAAACAAACCGTAAATTAAAATGTTGCCTTGAAAGTTTTTGATAATATATCATAAATCAGTAGGACATTACACTACATGTGCTGATGCTAGTCAGTGGCATGGTTTTATGCCCTCTAAATACATTTTAAACGAAGGTTGTCAAGTTGACATCATATACACAAATATTTTTAAAGCCTTTGACCAGGATTTCTATAATTTGCTTGTTCCTAAACTTAATAACTATGGGTAGGCAGGTAGGATACTGAAACGGTTTCAATAGTATCTTACTGAAAGAGGGCTCTTTGTAAATATTGATTGTGTAATATCAAAAAGTCCTTTTCTGTTGCATGTGGAGTTCCACAGGGATGCCATCTAGGATCTCTACTCTTCCACAATTTTCGTTAATGGATCATAAATATGATATAGTTCTCAAATATTTTAATTTACGCAGATAACTTTAAACACTTCAAGGGAATTGCCATGACTGGCGGGGACTGTGAAACTTTAGATTGATATTGATAATGTTATGTAATGCTGTAAACTTAATTTTTTACAATTCAATATTGAGAAATGTATAGCTACGACTTTTGCTGGAGGCAATTTCATTTCATTCGAGTACAATATGGGAAATAAAATCATCAAGATAATCTACCCTGGTGCTACTTATGATATCAATTTGACGTTTATATCGCATAGCAATTTTATCTCAATCTTCAATTCGAATTTCTGTTATCTTATACATACATATGCTCTGGACTCATATAAGTATGCAACCTAGTGATTTCATTTTTAATTGATATTATTGATTACAACTTTATATATCATTTAGTATATTGTTTTTAACATTTCTGTATTTGTATAAGGATCTCCCCGTTTTATAATAATAAATAAATAAATGTAAAATCTGTACTAAAGTAATTTGAAATCCTTTCATTCTTACGAAGAATTAAGTAAATGTTGATATTGTTTGTTAGAAAATTATTTCATGCGTGCCCGCAAGGACATTGAGAAAAACGCCTCTAAATCTTTTACATAGGTTCATTGGCAGGTTTTTTGTTCTGTCTTCTGTCTTTCAACCGGGATACTATACGCTGTAAAAACTATAATTTCAAGTGTTAAAAAATTCAAATAATAGTTATTTGAATGTAGGTACCATTATGTTTTATTCAGAGGATCTCGCATATTCTTTATAGAAAATAGCTCCCCCGATCAATGTCTTTGAAGCTTTGTACTCAAATAGTTCTTGTTGTGGAGATAGAAAGATTCAATGCCCGTTAAGTCCGCAAAAATCATGTTTCCGAAAAATCGAACTTTTCATGGGCTTTTGCAATGGTGTAAGTCTGCTGTATATTTTATTTATGTATACGTATATGTATGATGACTCTCGATATGTTTATACATAGGTACTGACAGACATATACGATACATACATAAAAATTACAGCTCAACTTCAAAGGCTTATATCTTGAAAACAGGAATTTTGAATACAGAAGACTGGAAAATTTTGGCGGTATTGTAGAGCACTCTAAATAGCTTAAATCGCTACGCCAAAACAAGACACTAAGAATCCAAAGTACTTTTTGGTAACAGGGTTACCTTCTCAAGGGACTGAAGAGAGTCCCTTGGTGTTTTGTTTTGTTTTTGGATTTGGGGTTTTAAAGAGTTCATGAATTTTGAAGTCTTAACGGTCACAGAGACTTTGGATCTACACTTGATCTAAAGTATCAATATTCAGGTAAAACTTTTTAACAAAATCGTTTGAGATTACAACAGACAATTTCCAGCAATAATCACTGGGTTTATAATGATTATATCTTATAAATAATAATGCTCTTTCCTATTTTTCCTTGCAAACTATACAGAATTAGTTATGTCGACTGATTCGGGTTTAAAGATCGTCGTGTGTTGGAGTTGCTTCCTAACGTTTCGCTAGTACGAGTGGTGAACTTCTTCATAGGCAAAATACATTTTTGACGTTAAAAAGTTTTGCTACTATCAGCGATCAAACATTATATAAAATGATGAATGAAAGTTACTCACATTGGCTATTGAAGGTTAAAGCTTAAAAAGAGAACAAAGAGACATTCCATGAATGCCTTCTAATTCTTTAACTGAAGAGGGCCCAAAAGATTCTAAATTCCTTGGAAATGGATAATCTAAAATATTGGATCGATATTGTTTTCCGGATTCAATGTCATAGTTCATGGAATTTTGAATCATATTGAATTGATATCAGCACCTGCCAAATCACAACTAATCGTACCTTTAGCAAGGAACTACGAAATTCTATGAATTACGACAAAATAACCCTCAAAACAATATCGAATTGATATACCCCAGCTGTGTAAAAGTGAAAACTACTAGTGGTGTGCTAATGAATGCGTATAATCCAAAATTCTTAGCAAACGTTTCGAAAAACTTCACTTTTCAAATGAACACAAAGCTAAAGCAACTATGGATTCCATTTCTTTCTCTTATTACAATGTGCAAAAGATCGAAAACAAAATGGGGTAGCAAATATTTTGATATAAAATGATGATTTTACATCAATAAAATTATTTGCAATCCTATTTTGGCTCTGATCTTTTACGGTAAACAAACTATTTTGANAAACTAACAACAATTAATAAAAAATTATTGAAAATTTTGGTGGAGGCGCCGGGACAATTTAAACAAAAGCTATAATTAAGCTATAATTCCAGTTTCATTGAGGTGGATTAATAAATTTTCATCTTTAAATTATATTGCTTCGTTGTAGATGTAGTTAAGGATGATAATTTGCATTTATCTTATAAATTGCAATAAGTTAAACTGCAATCTGTTATACAATACATAGACAACCCAACATACATCAAATATTAAAACTAATGTAACTATAAAGCTAGAAAACTTTTTTAGCTCTTTTACATGAAACACTGCTATTCCCTAACAAACCCCAAAATATTATGTAGAACTAAGTACCTAATTCAATTAATTGAGTTATTGTATCGGTTTGTAGTTGAATTTTTCCACATTTGAAATATATCGCAATTTTTCGTTATTTTTTTTTTGTAGTATTGCAAAGTAAACCGATACAGTAATGATTTCTTATTTACTCACATAAAGTAGAACATTATGTCAATTAACTCTTTATTCGTCTTGTACCAAGAAAATCCGAATTACATGTGGGATTTCTGGGAATTTTTAAGACTAAACATCTTAATCTCAATACCTATCTGAAACCAGGGTGTCTTTCGAGGTGGCAACATTCATTATATCACTTTGATAATCATACTAAATTTATTTACTAGCGTGGCCTAGCGTATCCCTGATTACGTACAAAAATTCATTTTGGTAATTTCTAGGATTTTCAAGAAATACTGTACCATACCTAACCAAAATGGAAGATCGTTTTAGTCTTATAAAAGTTTAATTTAAGCAGAAAGTTCAAATAGAATGTACGAGGGTGGATTGATAAGTTTCCGGCCTAACCAAGAGATGACGCCACTAGGCCTACCTTGAGGTGACATTCTATAGTACCATCCTTGGATAGCTTGTAGCTATAGTTTCAGCCCGATCTCCTTGCTAGTGTAGGTTTGACAGCACGCTGAACAAGACGCCTCTGTGGTTTTCGTAAAAATGGAAAAGCAGG